GTCAGGCCACAGGGAAGAACACAGCAGTAATCAAAAGGTGACATACTTGATCCCAGACCAGCATTTTAGCTGAAGGAATGAATATGAAAGGCTTTATCTGGAAGCAGTGGATGGAGAGGAGGTGTGGGATACAGGCATAGCTGCAACAAGGAAAGTAAGCTCAAGGTGGTGCAGAGCAGTGTGGCATGGAGGTCTCGTCTGCTTGAGAGAGATGGGGGAAGCTTTGGTGGGAGGGGATGAACTCCGCTGTGCTGGTGTTGAAATTGGGCTGATGGGTTAGACCTGCATCAGGAACCGTCAGCCAGGCTGCTGATTTCTCCTGAAAGGAAGAGCTGAGTCTGGCACAGCACGGTGGATCCGAGAGTCACCATAGAGATAGCGGTTGGAGGCAGTGGGTGGTGGAGATTACCCAGAGATAATGTGCGAAAGGAGAACGGAAAGGGCTGAAGGACAGGATGCTGTGGGCATCCAGCAGAAGAGGGAGGCGGGCACAAAGAAGAGGCAGAGAAGAAAAGACGATAAAAGCAGGCAGCAAACCAGGGAAGGACATCAGAGAGGCTCAGAAGGACCAGCTCTCTATGCCAGTGCGGCTGGAAGTGTGGAGACCAGAGGAAAGATCAAAGATGAAGCTTGAGCATGGCCTTGAAACCATCATGAGGAACCTGGACACAGGACACTGCTGAACAAGTGGGACATGAGGCAGTGAATGGGAGTGTAGAGGTGGAGGAGGACAAGGCCTGGGGGATCTGGGGCAGCAACCTAGGGGCATTTTTCCATGCTCAGAGATGTTTGAGGGGCTCTAGCCCCACACATTAGGGAGAGAGCAGGGCAGAGGAAAGGTGCAAGGGGGCTGTCTCCATGGGAGGAACATGGGTTGCCAGGAGAAACAGGGATACACCTACCAAGGTGGTAAGGGAGATGTGTCTCCACGGAGCAGCAGCAGAGGACAGGTATTGACAAGTCAGCATCTCTGACATGCCTTAGGAAGATGGTGGCAGGATGCTGTGTGGGAGGTCAATTCACTGAGAGGAACAGAGTCATTTAGGGGGGAGAAGGCAGAACCGAATCCAAAATGCACTGTTTTGACTCAAGGAGTTGGCTTGGGTTTGGGATTTGCACTGTGGCACCGTATGAGCAATGGGCACTTGGAGTGTTGTGAACAAAAGCCATCCTACTCATACAAAGGCCCTTCTATTTCAAGTTCTATCCTCCTGGAGGTTTAGCAGCCCACAGGACGGTCTTTGAATGTGGCTTGCACCTCTCTGCTGTTTAGCAGGAATAATTTGTCTGGCACTGGATTGCTTCAGTCTCCAAGGGTGACATTATTTGTCAAAGATGCCACTGAACGTTTCAGTCATACTGGACCAAATGTTCACTGCCACCAGGAGAAATGACCCAGCTTGGCTCTGCATGGGAAGCAAGAGAAGCTGGGGAGGGACTGGAGGACAACATATGGAGAGGGGGATCAGAGGAGAAGGAAGAAGTGAGGTGGCAGTGTAGAGCGATGGATGCAGTGCTGAGCATGAGCAAGGCAGTATTGGGGCTTTTGAGTCATAGGACCTAGAGGCAAGCAACCAACTGACCTAGGAGCTGGGGGAATAAGGAAGAGACACAATAAACCCAGATGAGGGTGATGCAGGGAAACAGGCACTTGTGTGGGGGGTCCAGTCCCCAGTGCTCCCAGACATATGGAGGCACAGAAAGGGGGAGATGCACTGACCACAGGATGAGTCGGCATCCCCCAAGCTCTGCACTGATGTGGTTCTCCCAGTGAGAGCCTACAATCCCATTCAGGGGGCTGCAGGTACCTCTGGAGGCCACCGAGGGGTGGAAGGCCATTGGGCTGTAAAAGATCAGAGGTTCACCACAGCACGGTGCAGACCTCCAGCATCTCCCAGGTAGGCAGAGGGCAGAGCTGGTGCACTTTGGTGTTCTCTCAGTGAATCACTCTCAAGTCTTCTCCCCTCTGTTCCTCGCTGAAACCAAGCACTGGTGAGTAACGGGCTCTTAGCTCAGCCTCATGCTTGAAACCTCAGCCTGGTCTCCTGTGCTGCTCACAGAAAATGGCTCTCCCTGCCTTGGGCCAAGGTGGCAACTCTTACAAAGCCCATTCACCAAGAAGCAGTGGTCTGTCAGAGCAGCCTCTGCAACCCTTTGTCATGAAATCCCTCCTAACCAGGTACTTGCTCCTTCCAGGCAACGTGGCTTTGCTGGAGGCTTGAAGTCCACGTTCTACCTGAGGACAGATGGGCACCTACAGGCAGACTATGGGTCTCTTACCCTGCCTGAGCAAGCTGGAGACCATCAGCATGTCTGAGGAGAGATAAACCCCACATAGACAAGATGCACTGCCTATACTTGATGATGTCTTGGAATAAAAACATCCTGTGCCCTACCTCAGAGAGCATACAAAATAGGGAACACCAAGAAGTGAATACTCAGAAGGGTGAAATCAGAGACTGAACTCAGTCAGATTCATACTCCCGTGTTTACAACACACCAAATTCAACTGAATGCATGATAAGCCAAGCACTGGGCACAGCAGGCCCGAGAGTCTAAGGCCATATCTAGTTATCTGAAGGGATATCAGGTGGGAACACTGAGGAGTAATGGGATAAAACTGAAGGAAAGACCTTAGTAAGATTCAGAAAGAAGCTTAAGCACTTAGGGAGAAGAGGAGCATCTGCAGTCACGTTAGGCCAGATAGGGAAGCAAACAAGCAGACCTGCTACAGACCCACAGGACAGGACCATCCACCAGATAAGCACATTAGGAGCATGTAATGACATCCTTGGGAGCACTTGCTACAACCCACTGTTGGATACATAGTGTTGGACCACACAGGCCATCAGTCTGCACCAGCATGCCTGTCTGCACGTTCTTACTGTAGGAAAAACCATGGCTTGGGCACTAGGAAGCAGTTTATGGCACTTCCCAGCTGTTCCTCAAGAGGTGCTGGTTTATCTAGTACCTGCAAAGCTCTGGCTAATATCCTATGAGAAATGAGTCTGTCCAAAGAAAGGAAGGGAGACATGAATAAGGCAGCTTCAACCTTCCTCCTACTGCTCAGGAGCTCATCATGGTGCCAGTCTGACCGCAGCTCATGAGCAGTTCAACCTTCAACCCCTTCTCCTGCCAGCCCAGGGCAGGGGAGGCCAGAGGTACAAGGGCTGTGCAGGGGGAGCGTGCTGCCTCCATCAGCACCTCTGACCTACAGGATGGCCCAGAGATGCCAAAGCTTTGCAGGGCTTTGCTCCTGGACACTGTCTCTTGCTGCTCTCCTCTGCTGGCAGCCTGGCTGCAGAGCTCTAGGGGAGGTGCTGCAAGCAAGGAAGGACAGAACACTGTTTTGCAAAGAGTGCAGTGAGTCAGTCAGCTAATTCGAGGCAAGGATCTCTCCCAGAAAGGAATGACAAGGAGGAAGCTGCTTGTTCTGTAAGGATGAGGGCAGGGGGGCTGTATGGCAGCATCTGCATAGAGGTACAAGTGTCCTGTGCTCCCTGCCTCCCATGCACTTTGTTCACATGGGCTCCGTGCTGCCCGCTCCTGTTTGCCCACTGAACAAGGCGCCAGGTCCTCAGGTCCTGGGTTTGGTCCACAGAGTAGCCAGGGCTCCCTTCAGCCAGGCTCAGACTGCAGCTTCAGAGCATGCTACTGGCTCTGATGCCAGCTTCCATTCCCTCATCATTTCATGTTCAGCTTCTGCAACTCCAGCAGGGCTGTGGGGTGATGGGGTCCTGGATCAGCCACTCTGCTTTGGTTTCCTTCTACCTTAACTACTAACTTAACCACTAATGAGTGCCTGTGTGATGAATGATGAGGTGGCCCTTTCTGAGGCTTTAAATACAGCAGCGAGGATGGACGCTGGGTACCTACATATCACAACTGAGATCATTCTCTAGATGCTTGTTGCTTGGCAGCCAAAGGCTTAGAAATGTCAATTTCTAATTAAAACCATGCACCCAAAATCTACACACCCTCCCCAAAACCCAGTATTTTTATACACTGCTCTCAGATGCAGTGGGCATGGCAATAGCTCTCAGCATGCAAACATCCATGCACGAGCCACGTTGCTGCCGAGGAGGATGCAGGTGAGGTATATACACCAGCCAAACAGAAACGCATTCAAATCAAAGAGATAGATGCAACCTGATAAGAAGGGAGATTGAGGATGTGACCCAGAAATAGAAGTGAGGGAGGCTTCACAGCAAGGCCAGTGTAGTACCCACAAAGGTGATGGCAGTGTAAGGTCCCTTTCCCATGTGAGATGTAAATGCTGGGGTCTGGACACGGGGATAGGCTGCACAATGGAGCTGCCAGCCTCACTTTGCCAGGGCACTGCCTGCATCCCTCTCCCCTGGGTACCTGTCTTCTCCCAGCACCCTGCTCTGGTGACTGGTCACTGCTTGCTGAAAATGGGGTTTCCTTATGGGTTTGCACCACCAGGAAACCAGGTCTAAGGGTGAGCTGATATATCCCAGGTGTCCTGGTTCTGCTTGGGTATGAGACACAATAAACCCCTTCCCCTGTGGCACCAGTCCCCTGGCAGAAGCAGGAGGTAACGCCACAGTCAAGGGGTTGTGAGATGAGATGAGATGAGAAAAATCAGCCTAACTGAAAAGTACAATAAGATAAATTACTAATTTTTAAATCCATGTCATTGGATTAGAGCTTTGGAGAGGTTCAAAATCAGAATTGTTGGCAATTGTATTGGCTTTCTGGTATATAAACCTTCAGAGTTTGTATTCCTAAGCTCTTGCTACATGAGAATAACACCAAGGGCATGGAGCAAGGAAAGGAGGGGAAAAGATGGTGAGACCCCCCCCAACAGTGCAGCTCTGGGCAATAGGTTTGCAGGAGGTTACAGATACTTGTGGTGACCAGGCAATACCCATGAAGTGAAGTCCTGATCTTAGGTGCTGTGGGCAGCAGCACAGACCTGCCATGGGCAGAGCCGTCCCCACTGCTGGGCTCTGCAGAGCATGGAGCAAACTGCCTCACTGGAAAATGGGTTTTATTTTTGGACCAAACTTTGAAGAACCTCTTTTTAGCATTTTCTCGCAGAATAATTCCGGGTTTCTGCTTCTAAGTGACATTCAATTTCAACATCTGAGCTAGGGATAAAATGAATATTTTCACAGCCTGACTGAATTCAAACCAAAGCGCTTAGGAATGATGAAGCTGTCATGCGAGGAGCAAGGCAGAGGTGGGCATCATCTACAGCCATGTTTAGGGATGTGGGGTTTGGATTTGATGGGTTCGGACTGGTGAAGGCTTTCTTAGCCCAGTGCTGGCTGCCTGGCAGCCCAGCCACAAACCCCCCTGTGTGCCCTTGGGCAGGGGATCTTGCTATTCCAGGGATGCTTCACCATGGCAAATAGGCTTTGGTACTTGGGTAATCTTTTCCGTCATATTACCTGCCTCCCTTCACGCTACATCCAACTGATCTCAGGAGACATTTGATTGGCAGGGCATACCTAACACATTTCACTTTTCTGGTTACCTTGTAAAAGACATTCTTATAAAGGACTTTGGTACCTTGTTTTCCTCAGATGGAGCACCCATCCCCGAGATGGGAGGTGTCGCTGCTTCATGCCTCCAAGCGTGCTCATGGGACCGCATCCGGGGCTTGCTCCACTCTCATCCATCAGCATCTGTTGTCCTTTCTAAATCTCCAGATCCCATGTCCAGCCAGCATTCCTGGGCAAAGCAAAGACAAAAGGAACCAGGGTTTGCATCCCCTTCTGCAGGGTTTCTTCTTTGGGAACAGGCAGCTGGGGAAAGAACCCCTTTTAGCTGGAGAGAAGAGAAATGCAGAGTCCAGGATTTGAGTTCCCTCAAGAGAAGTAGGATTTCCAGGGACTGAGAAGCAGCAAACACAACATGTGGGATCACTGAGCTATCACAGAGCAATTAGCTTAATACCAGGGTGGGGGGAAATCAGAAACGTTTTGTTTCATGGATGGAGAGGTGTCCCCTGACAGGGTGGGAGGCTACGGCTGGTTTAGAGGTGCAACATCAGCATCCCTTAGGGTAGGGCCTACAGTTAATTATCAGAAAAAGCCAACTGTAAGCTTCATAAAAGCCTATAAAAGCATTATAAAAGCTTAATAGAAATAGAAATAGCTGTGCTTTGTTTTTAAAATCACTTACAACACGGATCATTATTAGTCTTAATTATCTCCCTGCAGCGTGGAGGTACCACAGTCAGCTGTGGGGCTGTATGTTTCAGACACAGCACACAAGGCACGTTTTGGAGATGAGATGGAAAAGCCATTGTAACACGCAGGGAAGGTTGTGGTGTCTCAGGAGCTGAAGGCTCCTTCAGATGCCACACATAATGGGTACAGAGCTTGCTGCTGCCTTTCTGACCTCAGCATCCTGTGCAGTGAAGCACCTTTGGGTGCTCATGCCCTGGAGCTGTGCCCTTTCCAGCAACACAGCCAGGCCCCCGCAACACAAGGAGAAGAAAGGAGATGGCAGAGCCACTGAAACCCACCTCCTGAACACAGGCTGCAGCTCTGTTCCCTTCAGTGCACACGGGAATGAGACCTGGGAAAAGCTCGCAGTGCTTTACTCCAAATGAAGCTGACAGCAGCAAGGTTCAAACCAACACAAATGCAGTGCTGAACTGAAGGCAGAGCCGTGGCACTCCTTGCCATGGGATGCTACTGATGCCAAGAGGTTCCCAGAGTAGATGGAGACCAGAAACTGCTTAAAAGAGAAATCTGTGAAGGTTTAACAATAACAACTGTGGAAAATAAATGAATGGAAATAAATGAAATGAATCGGGAGCTCCCTGCCTCATGCCAGGGGGAGCTGGGTGCTCTGGTCTGACAACTCTTTGGGGTTGGTCTGCTGGGTACAACTGTGTTGCCTACCTGTGTGCATAATCCTGTGTGCATAGGTGCTGCCCCTCGGCAGATCTGCAGCATCCTATCACTTTCTAACACCGGGTACCACCAGCGAGTTCCGGCACAACCCTGCAAAACAGGAGAAGAAAATGGATGGATCCCAGCCCCGTTAAGATGAATGGGTTATGTCCACCAGCCAGGGTTATCTGCTTAGCATATATATGAAAAACCCAGTGGGATAGAAAACAGCAGGCTTGCCTCCCGGCCAGGGATGCTGGGCAGCAGGACACACTGCCTGCCATAGGGAGCAGCAGTGAGACTTCTATCCTGATGGTGCTGCAGATGTTTGGACAGGCACCAGTGCCCACAGCATTGCTCTGAATGGGAAGAATAACAGAGCCGCTGCTTGGGGCTGGGAGGAAGTAAGAGCACGGTGATGCTGGGATGCTGCACCCCAGGAAGGGGGTTCTCTGGGTCTTCATGAGCTGACAGAGCTAATGCCACACAGCTCATCCCAGGCTGCCTGCTGCTCCTCCACAGTGTGTGGAGTAGGGAACAGGTCCTCAGCAACAGTGTGAGGAGCGATGGACCACACGGTTCAGTTCTGCTCCTGGAGAGCACTTGGGGTCTGCAGCCTCCCAGTGGAGCTGGGCCTGGTGCCTGTGAGTGAGGAACAGAATTAGGTCCCAGAGGGAAAGTCAGAGGCTGTGAATGTGACCCCTTTAAATGCTGTTTTCTTTAACAACGCCATTGGTCCATGGAGAATCCCAGCACTCCCAACCCTGGGACAGGCACCTGGGGAGGGATACCAGCAGCACCTACTCCAGCCCCATGTTCCTGCCACCCTTGCAAAGAGCATCAGCCTCCAGGGAGAGCCCCGAGCACAGTGCTACACCTCCATGGGGAGGAAGTTCTCCCTCTGCCTCATCCACAAAAGGGGCAGTGGGATGGGAGGCAATAAGCCTTATGTACCCGTGGTGGAAACTTGGAGACTGCATTTAATAAGAAACTGTCACATCTTGGAGCCTGCATTAATTCCAGCTCAGGGAAAAAAAGGCTGTCCTACAAAACAAGCAATTCCAGAACAAACAGTTTGAAAAACAGAAGTGAAAATTGTGTTTTTGAATAAAATACACAAATTTAAAATAAATAATTAAATTCAGCATTTCCCCAGGGATACAAATTGCATTGCTTTACATTTCTACCACTCAAGACATGTCAGCAGCAGTACTGTGTAACGTGCACCAGGCACCCAATGGGGCAGTGGATTCCATCTCCTCCACTACTTTATTCCCATCACTGTATTTGTTTTACATCATTCTGAATTGCTTTTACTTAGCATTGATTGAAACATCTTGTTTTCTAGATCAAAGTGTTGCTTTGTGTTTTAATGAACTACCTTGACACAATAGCTTTGTGTTAGCTTAAAACCATTATTTCATATATTGCAAACTGCTGGTCCTCTCGTTAGTATGCTGTGTGCTTTCCTTCCTGCCTTGTTCAAAGTGTCAAAACATTTCACTACAAACTAATTCTATTAGGATGTATCAGCGGTGGTTGTACACACCGTGATGTGTCTTTTGATATAATATGAACACTGGACCACTCTACCTAAATACCAACAACAGTGATGCAAACCTTTGCTCAAATTGCACCCTATTTGTCCCGTGTTCTGTCCATCCAGACTGTAGCAACAGGACAAGGGGTGATGGGTCCAAACCTAGACAGGGGAAGATCAGGTTAGATATAAGGAAGATGTTCTTTACTGTGAAGGTGGTGAGGCACTGGAGTAGGTTGCCCAAAGAAGTGGTAAATGCTTCATCCCTGGCAGTGTTCAAGGCCAGGTTGGACATGGCTTGGGCAACATGGTCTAGTGTGAGGCATCCCTACCCATGGCAAGAGGTTGGAACTGGATGATCTTAAGGTCTTTTCAACCCAAACCATTCTGTGATTCACAAAGTGCTCTTTTACTACAGATTTGTTTCTCTGCTTGCCTTTACATCTGTATACATCCCTTTTATTCCACTCAAAGAGACACTAATACATGCAAGGAAACAGCGGAATGCTCTTTGCCCGTCTCCTCACTCTTCATCATGAACGCAAGCATCGTCCTGTTTTCACAACAAACTTGCAGAGCGCTGCAAATATTTTCATTAAAAATGGCCCATTTCTCTAATCACTGGGGAAAATAGAAAAAAAACATATCAAATTTTAAAGGGTGATTCAGGTTATTCTCAGCCTGGAAGTATCGATTTTGTGCATCTCAGAGAAAAGGCTCAATTTTAAGACCAAATATCTTAGAAGTGGAAAAACAGCGGAAAACCAGAAATCCTGGCTCTGCAGAGCTGAGATCCTCCCTTTTTCTGCACATCTCAACTCACTATGGCCTGCTCTGGAAGCACAGGAGACAGAAGTCTTTGGCTGTATTAATCAGGGACCTTATTGCACTTCCGTATAGATCATGCCAAAGGCACATTATTCACCCTCCTGCAGTCCGCAGAGAGATGTGCTCACTGCTCTTGATGCGGGTCTTATTTATTGCGCTACAGGTGAACCATGAAAGGATCTTTAATGCTTTTCCACCTACTGATCAGCTCCTGTACCTCTGTTTATCCAGCCATGTGCTCGCCTGGCAGTTGTCTGCCTGATTCCGTCTAGCTCGTGATTCACCTTCTTGTCAGCATCCCTGGAGATCTGCTACTCTTGCAGCCTCTTGCCTGTCAAGTAACGTGAGGTTGTACTCTGTATATGAGCACATGCCTGAGAGGCAGAGTTAATGGATAAAACCAGTCTCATTATTCATCACTTTTTTGGCTACTATTGTGTTGCAGAACAAGACTGCAGCAGGAAGACATCTGTAAATGGCTCTGTCTATACATTAGCTGCTGGGAAAGGACAGAGCCATTTCATCCCTCATACAGCCGGTTCAGAAGGGTTTTGTGTAGCCAGCTTCTGTTTAATCCAGGGCTAGACTTACCAGAGCCAAAGTGGGAGCAGACTGGGAGAGAAGGGGGCTGCCAGCATGAGGAGAAGGGCAGAGAATGGCAGGACACCTCCTGGCACAACCCTGGTACCCTACGTGGAAAGCCATCATGCTGCTTGCCTGGTGTTAGCTCAATGCAGGAACACGGTCCCCACTGCTCAGCACAATCTTCCTGGTGATTTGGATGGCAATAGGCAACTTCCCATAGCTGCTCACTGGGCCAGATCTCCCTCACACTGATATAATTGGTGTTTCCCAGCTATTGCTCAGAGCCAAAGCTGGCACCTCACTGTGTCCATCACTGTCCCACGCATGTTATTTACCATGCACATCCATACAGGCTGGTCGAGGTTTTTAATGGTTTCTCTTAGACCAAAAGGTCATCAGCAGAGAGCCTGCCATGCTCTCCTGAATGGACCATTCTCTCTGGAGCATCTCAGAGCTGAACACAATGTCAGCGGACACCAAAGAAACCACCTCTTGCTGGAGATCCTGAGTCCTCAAAAACATGTGCCCGTTTTCCCTTAGGGCATCTCCCAGATGCTGCAGATACAACCAGGGCAGCAATTCATTTGGCACCGAGGGGAGCTGGCAGAGGCAGCAGAACACATTTTCTTGCAGGCAGAGTTACAGCACTCTTTCAGCTCTCCTTGACCCGAGCAGTGACCAGGAGAGTGGCTTTATCTCATCCTCTGCTTGCACAAACTCTTTAAAGAGGGAAGTTGCCTCCTCCACAGCCATTTCCCATCAATCTCTTTGTCTCAAGACCCATGTGCTGCTGTTCACAAACTACGAGCTACTGCCCTAGCTCGGAGTTGACAGCAGTTGTAACAACCAGGTCCTCTATCAGGTCAAGCGTATCAGGGCAACTCACGCTCCAGTGAGTGAACCCTAATGGGCTTGCAGTTAATTCTGTGTCCTTCTGCTGGCTTTCTGAGCCTTTTTTTCTCCCCTATCTCGGAACTGCTAAAAGACCTCATCTCATACCCAGGATCCATCAGCCCTGGGAACGCTGTCTCTTTAGATTTACAAGAGCCACAAGCTCCTGTGTGCGCGCCGCTGATTTCTGCTCTTCATTCAAAGGCGCTGCTCCGGTTCTGTGCAGCGTGCGGAACTCCTCAGTTCTCTGTAATACCCTGTGACAGTTTGCTTCCTCTGCCTGCCTTAATTGAGAGTATTAAAACCATCATGTGCTTCAGAGCAGGCTGCTCTAAGAAATTAAGCTGCCTTCTTACAGTCTTCCCCTCTCCAGTCCATCCGCTACTTGCGAAGAAATGGGAAAGCACTATTGGAGCCGTCTCTCCCACCCTGACACCTTCCCAAGAAGCTGTGCCTTGTGCAGGGCTTTTAGCAGCTCCACGCTTGCCTTCAGGGTCTCTTTCTACTCCACATTATCAGCTGCCTAGCACTGGCTCCCTCAGTCACACCCATAGTGAAGGCATCACTGCATGAGAGCTGACACCAACTCCAAGCTACCACAGCTGAGGCTAATAGTGGCACCCCACCTCTGCCCATCGGTTCTTCACAGAGGATCCCAAACCCTCCCAATCTGTAGCAAGGAGCATTCCCCGCTTTTTTTCTCATGCAAGGTCATAAAAATCACTAAAACTCACTAATTATTGTGAATTGCTGTGACTGGTTGTCCCACAATGCATCAAACACCCAAGTGTTACCACCAGCATGCCCCAAGCTCCCTTCCGCTCTTCCCTGCTCCCAGAAGAGCAAGGGATGATGCAAAGCCTGCAGCATGCCTCCTTCTCCTCCTCCTCTCAGCACTGCTGAGGGAGGAAGGTGAGGTCCTGCCAAGGCACAGCACTTGCCTCATTCTGCCATTAAACATCAAGTCAGCGCAGTGATGAGCTGTTATCAAC